GAAAAGTCTAGCTTTTTAGAATGGAATAGAAGACCCTTTCATAATTTGGCTACAACCATACCTTTCCTGTCTCATCACTTCTGCCATACAACAAGCCTACAAGAAAGAGCTCAAGGTTTTCTAAAACTCCATTTAATTTTATTATTTGGCCACCTGCTTATGCTCTCCCCTCTGCCTGGAATGCTTGTTTCCCCTCTTACAATTTGGCAAAATTCTACTCAACCTTCAGGGCTAAGTTCCATCCTTTTCTCTTTAAAGCTTTCCCTGACAATTTTTCCCCAAACTGACATACTCTCTCAGCATTTTATTCATTCTAAAAATGATTAATTCTTATCATAACATATCATGGATAGTAGTTTGTCTCCTCTGGCAAACTCTCAGTATCTCAGAGGGTATACTGTGTCTAATTCTTTGTCTTTTGAGCGCCCAACACAGTTGTTTAGCCACTGCCAGCACCCAATAAATATTTGCTGAGTTGTTAAATAATGCAACATTTAGTGTTGCAACTTTACACATCTTAGGTTAACAATTCAACTTCAGGTCTGCACACCACTTAAAAGAACTTTCACATAAAAGATATTGTAAAGACCAAACATCAATATTTAGCATGAGCATATATAATTTTCTCAAACCTTTTTGGCAATATTTTTAGTATCCTTTTTTAACTAGTTTCCTTTCCCATCTAACATTATTTGTATTTTTACAGGATCAGCAGTAACTGCAAACCTCACAGGCCCCTATAAGGGATAATCCCAAGCAAAACTGTGTCACTGAGAGTGGCTGGATAATTGCTTTGGGTACATTATTTCAGTAAATTTCCAATGAAATGCCCCAAGCACATCAAGTAGATTTTAGAAATGGGGATATGCACTGCTGACTAAATGCATAAGATTCACACACATTACTGAGGCATTTATTCTAAATTAATAATTGAAAACAATAGTATAGAACTACCCATTGCTGCTTTAACTATAATATCCTTTCATTTTTAAATAAGAATAACACTTAAGACTCTACTCTGAGTACAACCCCCTCCCACCCAACAAGCAGACTCTAACTTGTTATCAATGGGATGCTGATAAGCCTGCCTTTGTCTTAACACTTTCCCTTTCCAACATTCCTTTACTAGAGACCTTCTGCTCCAGTCATGGATAAGTCTCCTCAATATACCCCAATGATTAAATTCACCCTATTTTACTACGACCATGCTACCCTGAACACGCCGGATCCTGTCTGATCTTGGAAGCTAAGCAGGTCTGGTCTGGTTAGTACTTGGATGGGAGACCGACCACCTAGGAAAACTAGGTGCAGTAGGCGTAAAAAAAAAAGAGAGAGAAAGAAAAGAAAATACTCACACTATTTTCTCAATGTATAATTTATCTCTTTCTAATTCAAATTTTATGCTTCTTTCAAAGACCAGCTCAAATCTTACCTCTTCCAAAGTGTTCACTAACTCAGCCCACCATAAGTCTTATCTTTTCTAAATTTCTACCACACTTAAAGTATAACAGCTCACATAGCACTTGTTTACATACTACCACATTTAGTTTCATAATTATATATATATACACACATATATATGTATATATATATATGTGTGTATATATATATGTATATATATATACACACACACACACACACTTTTTTCCTAGCTAGGCTGTTTGCTCTTAAAGGAAAAAAGCCGGGTCTTCTACATCATTTGTAATCTCACAATCCTCCTCTCACATGAAGCATAATACTGGGCAGAGGGGGCACATGTATTAACAATTTGAAGGAGTGAACTAAATGCTTGCTATACAATGATATACCACTTATATAGTGTGGCATATAATATCTATTGCTTGCCTACTGTGTAGCAAGCACTTTGTAGGCACTAGTGATACTGCCAGGATGAAAACAGAGGTAATTCCTGTCCTAAACGCTAATAATAGTCCAGAGAGCAAGAGACATTGAATTTCAAGAACTCTATCACAGAGCAAGGTTATTACTAGTTCCATGATGTAAGAACCTCAGGCAACATACTTTGTAGATCCTCAGTTATGAAACTGAATCACAGAATTTTATATCTGAATGAAACTTAGAAGTAATTTCCTTCAATTTTCTTGCACGACTCATGATTAAACTTTAGTATAGTCTATCTTTCTACCAGTTCTAGGCATTGCCTTAATTGACAGTCGGAAAAGACTGACTTCTTCCCGACCTCCAATTCTCCTGTCTCCCAAGGATTGTAACTACAACCGCCACATATCCACCCATGAGAAGTCCAGAGCACTCAGAGGAGAGCATTGGGCTGATATGCTGCACCTTTACACTCCGGCTTTTCAAACCACCATTTTCTAGCCCGCATGCTAAACAGAACCTGTAACTTTCAATCTAGTATATAGCAAGCCTGTACTACTTTTAAGGAAGACAAAAAAAAAAACAGTGCTTCCATACTTCCTTGGCCCTAATGACAGAAGCATGACAACGGTTCTGGGAAATAAAACAGCTGATTTGCGACTATGAGGAAGTAAGGACTGAAGATGGATATCCGCCCCCTTGGCCTCAAAATCTGCAGCAACGATGTGATAAAATGCACAGAGCAAAGTTTTAGGTGTGCATTAAGCACGTGCACATACATGTGAAGTTGGAAACTAGGCAACAGGTTGGCCACCCCCTATCTCTAATGACAGATCGGCTCCCCTAGGTCGTGGGTGTGTCTGACGCCACACGCAGGCACTGATTCACAGCTCTCTCCATAACAACCAGCTTGTCCTCCCAGCCCCGCCAGGGCAAGGGCTGAAGGCCCCAACAGCGCCAAACTTTCCGAACCCCAACCCCAGCGTCCCCGGTTCCGCCTCCACACGGTCTCAGACAACCTCATCTTAGGCGGGATGAGAGGCTGCTCCGGGACTCCAGGCTTCTCCTGATTCGACTCGGTTTCGGGAGCCCGGCAGAGCCACCCTGAAGCCCCCAGACATCTACTTCCCACTACACCTTTCAGAACTACTGTCTTCGCTGGCCCCTCGCTGCCGATTCCGAGAACGCCCGCATCCAGAAACTGACCCTCGTCAGCCCCCGTCCCCGGAGAAGGCAGCGAAGGGGCGTGGAGTGGCGCGCGCGCGGGTGCTCTGTCACATGTCCTGAGTTCCTTTTCTAGACGTACAAAAAAGGGAATCCCTTCCATGCTGTAGAAACACGGAAGAAACAAGACCATCCCACACTGCAGCAGGTGCGGCCAGGCCCCCCCTCCCCTGCGAAGCCCCGGCTACTCACCCCAACAAGGTTCCTCTGCGACCTAGCCGCCGGCACAGAGGCCTCTTCCGCCTGCTCCGCTGCCTGCTCGTAACCACCGCCCCCTCGGCAGATGCCGTCGCCGCCTTCCTCGCCGCCGCCGCCGCGGCGCGCGCCCGCTCTCACGCACAACGCCGTGGCCGCGCACGCGCTTCTGCGCGCTGGCGTCACTTAGCAACCGATGGCGACGAGTGGGCGGGATCTGAAGGTTTAGGGCGGCGAGGTCGCCTCAGGCAGGTTTTGCGGCTTTTCCTCACCCGCCGCACCCGCTGCCCTCCGGAGCAGGGGGCTCCAGGGTGTGACTGCCCGGCCGGCATCTGGCTCCGGGTAAGTCACGTTACTACGTCACTGTATGGCGTCACCGATCTCGTCACTGCGGATGGGATGGTCCCCGCCTTGATCGCCGTGGCGAAGTTACAGGGCGCCTGTGGTGGAGAGAGCAGTGGCTTCGTCCAGTCTGGCATGGATCCCACAGGCTACTTCTGCTAAGTGTAGGAAGGTTCTCAAAGGAGTAAAGGAAGGAACTGACTGCGCACTTAATTATGGAAGACTGCTAAGTGACACTTGTTAACTCAGGAGCAAGGGAGTGATGGACCGAGCCTTGAATTCCCTTGACTCTCAGTTTCCTCGTTCTATAAATAAGAATAACAATACCCATTCAGCTTACATCGGAGAGTTGTGAGGCTAAAAGGAAAGAATGTATGCAAAGGTGCTTTGTAATGCTTTAATTGTAAGAGAAGGCAGTTGAAGAAAACAAAAGCATGGACTTTGGAGTCAGAGAAACCTAGGTTCAAGGCTGATACTGAATAAATTCTGCTTGATGCTTGGGCAAACTGAAGGATGGGAGTGTGGCAAGTTGGAGAGAATTCATGAGTAAATGTATGAAAGAGAACATGGACTGGAAGAGCAAGACTTGAGGCCGGGAGATTAGTTTTAAGGCCATTGTACTCCATATAAGAAGTAATGAGTCTTAACCAAATCTTTGGCAGTGGGAATGTAGAAGAAAGGACAGATGTGAGCGCTATTAAGGTGGTAGAATTGACAGCATAGAGTTGGGTATCAATGAGTAGACCAAATCTTTAGGATAGGTGCTGGGGTAGATGGTGGAAACATTCAGCATGACGCGAAGGAAAATGAGTCTCTTGGTTATCCACAAGTTTCTGATCTACGTCACTAGAAACTGGTGGTAACTGTCCTAGGAGGATGATCAAATTTGTGGGATATGTTAAGTTCAAATGTGGATACATTTGTTGGGGAAACACTTATTCTCCACTCATGATGTTTCTTTCCATATGGCGTAATATCCCTTAATATAATATTCCTGGCTTCTCACTGCACCTTCCCCTAGCTCACTCCTCCCTGGAGCAGTGGCTTTCTGAATGGTGAATTTTTTTTTAAAAAAAAAATGTCTACTCATCCCATTCTTTTTCTCTTAAAGCTGTCTTCACAGAACTATCCTGATGTTCTTGAGCAGGGCCTGGGGGTGGAGTTGAGGGTGCCTAGTCCAGGGCTACAAAGATGGTAAACTTATTTAATCCCAGAGTTTGGCTTTAGAAAACTCTCTGTCACAGGTAATATCCAATACCAACTGTCAGTTGTAGTATACAGAATAATGACCCCCAAAGATGTTAATATCCTAATCTTCTGTAACCTGTGAATATGTTAACCTTACATGATAAAAGGGAGTTTTCAGATGTGATTAAGTTAAGGATCTCAAGATGATATTTTCTCTGATTATCTGGCTGTGCTGGAGGCAGGAAAGTCAGAGTCAGAGGAGGAGATAGGATGATGGAAGCAAAGGTCAGCGAGAAAGAGATTTGAAGAATCTTCACTCCTGGTTCCAAGGAATGCAGACAGCTTCTAGGAGCTGGGAAAGGCAAGAAAACGGAATTTTCCCTAGTGGCCCCAGAAAGAACACAACCCTGCCAATGCCTTGACTTTAGTATTTCTGATCTCCAGAACTTTAAGTAATAAATTTTTGTTATTTTAGGTTTGTGGTAATTTGTTACAACAATAGAAAATTAATACAGTCAGTAGTAAAGATGATAGTTGGTCTCCAGCTGCATTCTCCTTTATCTGGAAAAGAAGGGTAAAATTAATTAGATTTCCTTGAAGATTACTGCAATGTGACTGTAACTGGATGGAGGGAACCTCCATATCCAGAGGGAAATATCCAAAAAACAGTCAAACTTTACAGGTCTATGAAGATGAGAGAAGTTGAGTTAAAATAAAATAGATTTGGAAGATATTAACTTATAATTGATAATTTAAGCCCTAGGCATGGATGAGATCAAGGAGAAAATATAGAAGAAACAATATAGAGGACCAAGGATAGAGCCCCATGAAATACTCCCTTTGAACGGGAGTGGCAGATGAATACAAGCCCACAAAGAAGTCTGAGGAAGAATGGCCAGAGATAAAAGAACCAGGTGGGCAGAATGCCTCTGAAGCCAAGGTAGGAAAGAATCACAAGATGAAGTGGGCTTTAGCAGAATCAGAGACCACAAGTAGGTCAAGTATTTCAAGGGCTGAAAAGCAGTGACTAGATTTAGTGACAGAAGTGTTTGATGACTAACAATAGCAACTTTAGTGAAGTAGTAGAGATAGACACCAAATCCCTGGGGTCTGAAAGGCAGGTCAATATGGTGGATTGGCCTCTGGACTAGTTGACGTATGTTGAGATTCTAACCAGTAACTAAATAGATAAACTTGGGCAAATCACTTAAATATTCCAGCCTTTGGTTTTCTCATCTACCAAAGGAGATCAGTCTGAATCTGTAGTTTTCACATAACTTCCTAGATAATCCCCCCAACTTTATATTGAGCTCATTTGCTTATAACAGCATACTTCAAATCAGATCATTTTACCAAACAATGAGAGTCAGTATATTATGTGCCAGCTTCTTCTGTCCAGATACCAAAGATATGACAGTTATTCAAGAAACTTCGTTTTGGAAGGGAAATAAACTCATTAGTATGTAACTAATTTCCATAGTTCTTTTTTAAACAAAGCAAGGCATAAATTGAATGAACTATAACACAATATACTACACAGAATGTTAGAATTCTCTATGAAGTGAAATGAAGGGTGGATAAAGTGATTCAGATGAGGGAGTGATCAGTTTTCCCTAATGGCTATCAAGGTGTTGTACTTACCTACTCTTGGGTAGGTTCACTGTACCTCAAAAATATACATATGCACCAATACATTTCCAGAGTGATTTAAAAAAAAAATGAGAGTTGTGCTAAACCTATGCTGATCTTAACATTCCAAGTAATTTTTTTGTGATTGGAATGAATATTTATGTACAACTACTTCTAAACTAAGTATACTTTTTAATTGGAAAAAAGAGACACATCGAAATTAGGTGCAAGAGTAATTTACTTTTCCATCATATCCAAGGGGAAATATTTATTTGTTATACATGCCACACTCTGTTACATTTGCTCGTCTAACACTCGTGTTATTGTTAGTACACACAGACCCAGGGAAAAGCCCCAAGACTGAAAATCTACCTCCATAAGTAAAGGACAGGGAATGACTGAAGAAGAAGGCTGGCCACTCCACTCTGGTAATAAATAGAGTTTATTAAAGCTTTATACAAGGCCTGTGTTGGGTGGCTGCAAGATGAAATGGTAGGTGTCAAAAAATTATATAGGGTAAAGGGGGAAAAATAGTCATGGATATTAGTACGTGAATGCTACCAGGTACAGGAAACTTCTTTATATGCTTGAACAGTTCCTGGAACAACCTGTTACAGGAACCAGCACATAGCTAGAGTAAAGGGAGGGGTGCTGATTTATGTCAGAATGATGAGCAGACAGTCTCTAAGTGGGGTTTGCAGAGAGCAACCTCCGTTCTGGCCCAGGTCCAGCTCACAGGAGAGACAGCAGTCAGGTTGTGGAAAAGTCTCTTCTCCACAATTCTCCCATTTAATTTCGTAAACATCAGCTTACTGTATCAGCAACTGACATTATAGCTCTGTTTTAGCAGGTGAGGATACAAAATTTAAGTAATTTGGCCAAGATTGTACCAACAGCAGTTAAGTAAGTAGTAGACTAAGATTTAGACCCAGCACAGCCATCCTCTTTCCAGCAAACCTTCCCTTAGGCCCTTAGTTGGTTTAAGTGCCCTTCTCTGTACTATTACATCACGTGCACACCTTTGTTTTAGCACTTACTGTAATAACGACAGTGCTTAGTAAGTGCCAGGTACTGTTCAAGGTACATTATGGGCATTAAGTAATTTAAGCCTCATAACATCCCTTTGATGTAGGTGATATTATTAATCATAATACTTTATTAGTCAGGAAACCAAGGCATGGAAAGTTAAGTTATTCACTCAAGATCATACAATAAGTGATGGAGTCAGGATTCGAGCCCAGGAAGTTGGGCTCCAGAGTCCATGCTCCAAACCTCCACACAGCTACCTTGCACCCTCTGCTAACATTGAGGGCTTCTAGACAATGTAGTTTACAGAACTCATCAATGCAATTACTGTAGGGATGTGTGTGATATCCCATTGTATTCCTTATTAAATGAATACAGGAGAATTTTCTCTCTCAGCCAAATCTCATGAAACACTTGGCTACCCTTGAGTAACTGATATGCTTTCTCCTTATAGGCAATGTGAATTATGTAACTGTTTTCTCCTTTCACATTGGCTGTCAAGAAGCACTGAATAAATTTGTGGTGTAGCATTAGTAACTGGGAGTACCCTTGGCCTACATATTTGTATTCTGTTGGTTTGAAAATTTTCGAAATAAAAAGTTGGGGAAATAATCTAAATTGTTCTTAATTTTCTAAATTGTTGAGAGTGTACATTTATTTTATAATTATAAAAGATAAACTTTGTTTTTAAAAGAGTATCTGCAGCTTTGAATGATTTCTCAGGCTTTGACTCTGTGGACAGGAACTAGTTTCTGGTTAAGTTCTATGAGTTCAAGATAGAATCACAATTCTTATAAAACTTGGCATGACCTTGAAAGTCCAGATCAATCAAATTGCTGTTCAGCCAGTACAGAAAGTATTTCAAGTAGAATAAAACAGGCAAGTTGGGTCCCTTCTTGTTTTAACTTGTATCTAAATTTGAAACTACTTTTGGATTATTTGGATGTATGCTACCTTGCTTTGGAGATAAGAAAGTTATCTTTAATGCTGAT